TGGCATTTGCATCATTCCTACATATTAGCAGAGGCACACAGTGTAGTAGAATGTTAACAGACAAAAATAGGATAAATTACTCAATTGTGAATGTCTTGCTATATGTTAATTCTTGTCTGTGCTATTATGTAGGGATGATGTAAATGCCATCCCTACATTTACTTACTTTTTTCAAAGGTTTTTCATTCCTTGTTTGCTTGTTTTATTAATGTAGTGTTTCAATAGACATAGGAAGGTTGTATTTATAAACAAGTTCCAAATACAATGAGATTCCAATTGTAATATTCATTGTTTATCAATTATTGGCTGGTAATTCCTGTTTCACCCTCTATTTAAGCTTTTTAAATGAACACAAAATTTCTGTTAGAAAGCTAACTCCAAGGGGTAATGATAACATCATTTATGCTAGAATTGTGAATTTTTAAGTTACTACTAGTTATTAATAATACTTATAAAAGCAGATATTCCATTTGAAACTATTTTACATGGTAAAATTGTTTGAAATCTTTGTTTTGGTTTTTTGAGATATAATGTAATAAAAAGTAGAACAAAAAATTCAAACTTTTTGCTCTGATATTTAGAAAAATTCCCAGAACTTGTGACTCAATCATTACATAGATGTTGCTATAAAAGGAAACACTGCAGAGTATTGTAAAATTCTGATGACCTATTGAAGAGGTATTTAAAACACCATTTTGATGAACAATCTGAGCCATCCCTACATATGCAGTGGTATCACCTACCTGATACAATGAAAATGACTACATGTATTTCTCCATTTAATGGTTCACTTGTAAAGCTTACAATTCTGGTGTAGTACTTTCAATAACTGTCACCTTTGAACTAAAATCTTAGTTAAATTGCAGTTCATAGATATTTAAATAGAATACAGATTAAATAAAAGAAAAAAATAGCTTATGTACTTGTGTTTTAACTCTCTCTTCTTCTTTCTCAAGCAACTTCTGTTGCTTCAGCAAATCTCCAAACTTCTTCTGATCTTCTTGATGCTTCTGTTTTTCTTCCTGCTGCTCTCCCTGCAATAGGGCTTGTTCCATCTCAAACTATAAGAACAATTTAAAAAGTACCACATTATATACACTTGTTCTGAAAAACTTCAAAGCTTTATTATTATATTATTTTACCTTAGTTAGTTGAACATGGGTAACTTATAATTTATTTAGGAAATATTTATACTTCACTTACTTATTTTAAAGCATTCCATAGATTCTCACTCACTTACTTCTTGCACATACTCTCTTTCTAGATCTTCAATTTCACTAAGTTGTTTCTTCAATACAGCAATCTGATTCATAAGCCTGGACTTGGTGTGGTGTAGCGCATCAGTACCATAGGTATTTGTAGAGTTTGTAAGCTGGAAACACAACAGACATAACATTTGCATGTATATGTGTGTTTTTATTTTAATAATTTATGGTTTATGAGACAGGCCTACACAAGAGTTTGAATTTCATTCACTGTGATTAGGCTAACAATTACTTAAGGGTAATTGTCTTCTGGAATTATTTAAAACAATTTACCACAAAGTACAATGAAATAGCAATAAGAAAAAGCCATACATTTTAATAATTTGCGATATATGAGGTAGGCCTAAATTGAATCAATCTTGGTAGGTCAGCACTAAAGCAATTAGGTAAAACACTGTTAGAGAATTGTAAGCCTAATTGGTTTAGTGTATGTGTATACTATATATAAACTAAAATGAGTTTAAAAACCAATTACTTGAATCAGAATTCTGTAGAGCCTTTAAAATTTTATACAATGATATTTACTATCTCAAAATTATTTTAATATGGATATGTTATTACATATTAATCAAATTTTCATAAGAATACCCATACACTTTGCAAAAAAATATTACTCAATACATTAAAAGCTACAATTCTTTATATGTTAATTTACTATATGATAATACAATCTAAATTCATTATGCTAAAAAGTAACTTTAAAAATGTACCCTATTTTAATACATACACTAAAATGCATAATAATAATAATGTCTGGGTAAGTTGTATTTAGGTTTCTAATCTTTTATTTATACCTAAAATAAATAAATAAATTAAAAACATCAGATTTTTTGAATATATTGTTACTCTCTGAACTTAAAATTTGAATGTTATAATTATATTTTTGAATTAAGATGTAGACAAAAGCAATAATAACAAAAGAGCTATTACAATTATACTAAAATATTACTCTATATTTAAAAGTTGCTTAATATTATACTTGTATCACTACTAAACCCAAAAATCTGAGCATCCTTTCAAAAAATGGTAATAAGGTTTTTTGTAGATAATAACAATGCCAATGTGAAGCTTGAATGTGAAGATAGAAGGATTTAATAGTGCTTTATATTTTGATTGCAGTATTGCATGTAATTTAATGCTCTTTGAAGTAGCTTTTGGGTTTTTTTTTTTATCTCAATAAAGCAAACTTTATTTGTTACACAAACATCTATTCTTGGAGCAAATTCAATTAGATGTTTTTCATTGCATTAAACTATTTACATATAATGCATGATGTTCTTTATTCAGTTAAAAATAAATTTAAAGCAACAGAAATGGCTCATCTTCTTGAATGAAAAGCATGTTACATACAATTAAAATTAACAACAAAACTTAATAAAATGTATCTTTTCAATAACCAAATAGCTATGCGAACATTTCAAACTGAAAACCTTGATGATTCTATGAATCAGCATAAGTTTCTGTATTCAAATACAAAAATATAATAGTTTTCAGATTTCAAACTGAGAAGCTTAATAATTTTATAAATCCTACATTTCTCATTCAAAAAAATAAAAAATGATTTTTTTTATCAGGTGTAGAAATCATTTGTGTATTTATATAACCCATTTTTAAGTTGATGTAATATCAATAACGATATTTAGTTCTCTTTTTGTCTATACATAATTAAAACGTGCTTCTGTTTATCAAACTTATTTCACAATTAAAAACAAATTTTACTACAAACTCACCTTTGAAGCAATTCGATTATATCACAAATTATGCAAAATGCTTATGTAATTAATGGAATATTATACCTGTTTACTTAAAAAAAAGGTTCAGTTTGAATCTATAAACTGAAATGTCTTTAGTTTATAAAATTTTACTTCTATAACAGAATATTTCATTATTATATCAATCGATTTATAATGCTTTTCCTACAAAGCACAATAATGATAATCTAAATTTTTCAGGTTTCTCAAGTTATTCTTGAAAATATGTACAAAACCTTTAACATGACAACTTTCTCAAATAACCTACCCAACATCCTGAAACATGTTCATGTGATATTTTTGTGTCATTAATCCTGGCAAGTAAGGAGTCATCCAAGTATAACTTGTGTTCATGACACCTGCAAACAGAAGAATCTTTTGGTATAAATCTGTTGGCCTTTTCATTTACCACAACTGTCCTAATCCTGTTTCTAGGAGAGTGAGGACATGGAACAAATAATGTCCCTGCATTAGAGTTAAGATAACCATAAGAGGCTTCTTGTAATCTTGATGGAGTGTTATTTGATCCTGACACAGGATTTAAAATGCATGTCAGCTCATCTTCTGAACACACAGTGTTGAATGAGTGCTGACTACTATTAGTAAAATTTTCATCACACATTTCTTTACGAGTCTGAGATTCTCTTGTTGAGGAGAAAAAATGGTTAGATCGGTCTCTTGGCAATGATCCATTTGTTTTGATTCTGTTTTGATATGGTGGTGAATGAAGAGGAGAGTTACTGTTTGAAGAAAAATTACTGTCTTGTTGTAAAAAAGTCTGTCCTGACTTTAGCATTCCTTTCAAGCTTACTTGTCCCGAGATTATAGCTGTGTCTTTGCCCACAGAATCTGAAAAATCACTGGAAGAATCTACCGTTTTATAAATGAGCATCGCATTATGAGTACCTGAAGTTGTTGTAAGAGGAGAATCTTTATTACTTGCAATAAAAGAAGAGATGGAAGAAGAAGCTTCACTATTGTTTTTTTTCTCTTCTAATTTTGTCAATTCATTTTTCATTTTAGACTGATGTTCGTATTCTGCACACATGTTTAAAATTTCTTCCAGCCGTAAACTTTCCTGATGCCGTTGTTCCTCTTCCTTTCTACGTTCCTCTACTGCCTATAAAACATAAATAGCAACAGCTTTAATACTTAAGAAGTTTTCCAAAGAACTACAATTTTCTTTAAAATGATTTCTGACACATTTGCTTTACAAATAAAAATGCATCAGTTTAGGAAGTATCAAGCATTATCATTCCACATCTCTATGGGAACCTTTCCCTATTTTACAACCCTAATAATGAAAACTCAATTAAAAACTTGTTTTGTGTGGCACATCATGTTTTATATTTTTTGCAACACCAAGTATTCTTTCATTAGCAGGGGTTAACAAAGGCAGACAGTTATTTCCTCTACTCTTGTTTTTTTATTTAGTGTTTTAATAGCAATAATAATACAAATTAAAGCATTTGATCACCATACAACTCGGCAAGTTGCTGCAAACTCGTATAAAGATTGAACAGCAAAAATTAAATAGTTTTAGCCTATCAGAGCCTTAATCCTTTGAGTTCTGGAGGACTTTGAACCACAAATGCAAAATAATCCTATTTTCCAGCCATAAACTGGTGAAAATTTGAGTAGAATTATGATACAGTACATTTTGGTATCTAGCAGTGATAAAATGTTTTGGATTAAATGCACTAGTTATACAGTCTATAAATGAGCCAAAAAAATTGTCTTGGGATTCATTAAAGCTAAGAAATCTACATATAAATGTCATTATTCTTTCATGAAAAATTATACCTTATGGAACTTCTGAATATCTTCACTGGTTTACGATATTTTATTAAAACCTTGAGCATGCTCATTAAATACCAGATGGCTGCCACAGACAATACAAAATACATCCCAAAATTAACATATCTGAAATGTGCAAGTAACAATCCTTCAATATGGTGAAATATCTAATGAAAAAAATGACAATTTTCATCAGCAAGAATAAAAACAACAGGGAATGCAAACCAGACATCTCTGAACATCTTCACCAGTTCTTCAACATTACTATCTTGGATATTTGAAAGGGATGCAATATTTTTTGATGTATCTTCTCTCCATTCATGATTTGATTTGGGTGCCAGGTTTCTATAGTAAAATCATTTTTGAATTTCCTGTGAGCAGAATTGAACCTGAGATCACTTGCACATTAGGAAAGTGCTTTAACAACTAAGCTAAATGGTTAATCCATTTGCAATTGCTAATAAGGCACTTTTAAGATGCTTAAACTATCACATTCCTAGTAACAAGTGTCCAGTCTGACTAGATTCCATCAATAAAAAGTTTTGCTTTTTCTCATCCAATCATTGTACAATGCAATTTACTAGTCTTTCCCAATCCCCCAACAGTGTTAATTTCTTTAGCTAGTTTTTTGTACAGCACCTTATCTAAAGCTTTTTGAAAAAATTTGTATCCCAAATCCATATCATTTCCATCATCTATATAATATGCGATATGCTCAAGAAAATTTAAGATTAGTAAGGAAAAGATTGAGTAAATCATGATATTTTCTTTTCTGATATCATGTTACACTACAATATGTTGCAAAGCTTGTTTTATCAACCTCTCTAGAGCTTTTCCCCATTACAGAAACAAGATTAACTAATCTGTAATTCCCATGGCAACTCTTATCACCCCTTTAAAAACAGAAGTAAAAACATAAACAATCTTGCACATATGATCTTTGACCTACTTTAAAACCCTAGGAAAAACATTGTCTGGTCTTGATATTTTATTATTAATCTCTCAATCCTTCCTTTTACCACCAAGGGATAAGTATCTAAGTGATGCAGGTCAATCCCAACATTTCTCATAGAATGCCCAGGGTTAAGATCACCAAAATCCACTAATATTAAATATCATATTCTGGTGTAAATAAAAGGAAAGTATGTTTCTATTTTAAAAATAGAAGAGGAAAAGCATTTATAAACTCAGCAATCTCAAAGTATTAACAAAAACACCTTGTCATCAGCATCTTTTAAGGGCCTAATCTCTTTTTAACATTTTACTTACTTTTAACCTACTTAATTTTAACATTATCAGCCAGTTGTTCCTCACAAGCCTTTTGGACACTATAACTGCTTTTTTAACCACATTCCTAGCTTTCCTATAGTTCTGTAAATCTTCCATCCTATCTATTAATTTAAACCTCTTAAACTTACAAACTTATCCTTAGTTTTCTCCTTTATGTCTTTAAGAAACCAATTAGGTTTGATGTGCCTATCTTGAATTACTATCAGTTTATTTGTAAACATTTCGCAAACCTGTCCCATATCACCTTTAAATTCATTATCACAATTCACTATTGATAAATCATGTCTCATAGCCTCAAAACTGGTTTTCTAAAAATTTTACATTAAAATTTCAGTTATTTTTATTCTCAACATTTAGCAAAACATCCAACCTAATTATGCAATGATTACTACTCTTCTCCATATGTTACCCCATGCACTTCAGTGCTTATAACATCCTCAATATTAATTAACAAAACCTCAAACAGCATCCCCTCAGTTAGTCTCTCTGACCACTTGGTTCAGAAAACCATCCTGAATCACCTATTTACCTCGCCGATTGTTTCCATACAGTCCCATTCATTGTGTTTAAAATTAAATTCTCTCATAATAAATACATCAGTATTCTTATTAGTAACAACTGTGGCCTCGTCAAACAGTTTCTCATTGACATCGCCATTGCAAATTAAAAACATTCTATCCTTGAAAACCTTAATAGGTATTCATCCTCTAGATTTCCAGTTTTTATGCTTTCATTCCCTACAGGAAGCAGCTTACCCATTACATAAACAGCCACTCCACATTATTTACTAAAGAGTTTATCATTATTAAAAAATTATTAGCTGGAATTTCACAATAATTCCTATTATCAACATACTTTAAATCTTAACAAAATTTAGTGATTTCCATTATATCATAGTCTTCCAATTCAAGTTGAGACATGAACTCATCCATTTTCCTAAGTGAAAAGCCTTAAACAACCTTTCTGGGTGTAATGAGATCATTTAAAATCATATTTAGGACTCTCACCTAGGTTGTTTCTGATATTCTTAACATTAAACTGAGCTCATCTTTTCATCTGACAGACTTATCTTTAAAACTATTATTTTAGTTGTTATACTCTAAATCCTTTTCCAATCTCCTTGTCTGTTGGCTTTTAATTATAATAAATGTAAGGTAATGCATGTGGGCTATCATAATTTGACATATAAATGTAATTTTGATGGGAATAACCTTAACAGTGTTATAAAAGAAAAGATTTTGGTGTTCTGGTTGATCGGGTCATACAAACAGCATAATCTTTCTAATGGTAGAGCAAATAGGATTTTAGGTTGTATCTACAAAAATACTGAATAAATCTAAAGAGATTATAATATCATTATATAGATTACTGATTAGGTATATTGTGTTCAGTTTATGGATCCTTACTTTAGGATGACCATTAAATTGTTGGGAAGCATCCAGAGGAGGACAACTAGGATGATACCCGTGATGGAAAAGTTGTAATAAATATGAAAGCAAGTTAAGATCTCTGAGTTGGGGGGGGGGGGGTATCTGACTGAAGTGAATATATTGTTAAAGGAATTGATATTGCTGATGCATCCATCATCTTTATTCATAGTTAATGGTGAGGTTAGGCTGGACTAGGAGCACAGATATAAATGTTGGTAGGGTAGGAGTAATCTTCAGCTAAGACAGTTTTATTTTTTTAACAGGGCAATTATTTTTTCTGGAGTGGGTTGCCTTCACATGTTGTAGATAAACGTAGTAAATTTAAGGGTGTTTAAGGAAAAACATGATAAATATTTGAATAATAAGAGCTGGCTTTGAGCCTTCTTTTAGTTCTTTGGTCTTTAAACTTTACTTTAGTAGATGGGACAGTCTAGATAGACCAGCAGGTCTCTTGTTGTTCAAATTGTATGTATTAATTTTCTTAATAAGGAATTCTAAATAATAAGAAATCACAATCTACTGCAACCTTAAAATTCTTCACCTAAATCAATTTATATCTTTTAACAAATTCTGCTTTATCAGTTCTTACTTTTATGTGTTGTTGTTCTAGCTTTTCTTCCTGAGTCCTCAAATCCTCAGCACTTAAGTGATGGCTGTAAAAATTTCCACTATAGGATGAGTTGGGAGTACACCATTTTAATTTGTTTTCAGCTTTTGACTCAAGTTTCATGGATCCCTTCAGCAGTGTAGGAGATAATGATGTCTTATGATTTGCAATAGCTATTCCATTTTCATTGAATGGAATGCCATTTGAAGTAGTTGATGAAAACAAAGACCTGTGACTGATTCCATTAGTAGATAAAGCCTTATAACTCTTAAGCACTGGACTGGGGGGTAAGCTGTGACTATGAGGAGAAGAATAATTACAGTTATTATAATAAGAACCCCTACAGTCCCTGTAAATTTGTGTTCCAGGGGGTAAAATATAAACTCCCTCTTGTGTCGGCCATTGTGATATATTTTGTGAAGTCTGTGAGACATTATGGTTGTGACTTAAAAACTCAAACTTTGAGACTTTTTGTACAAAGTCTAGACACTCTTCAGGATCATTTTCAGAACTTTTAACCATAAGTGACCTATCACTCTGTGCAGCTATATATTTAGTTGAAGAATGACAGTCAGTATATCCAGGACTTTTCCGTATGGCTTCTTTCTGAGCTGGTATATAATCAGACACTGAAAAAAAAAAGTTTCTTTTTTAAAAAAACAATAAAATATAGATACTAAATATAATTAAAGGTCAAAATATTCACAAATATTTATTTATTTTGATTGTTTACATACAAAGAACACCCTTGGTGATTAATTATTTCTTTCAAATTAATTAACTTTGCATCAAAACAGCTGCCAGAGAAAGAAAAAGTGTTTACATAGATGCTAAAGACAATTAAAGGTCAAAATATTCACAAATATTTGAGTTATTTTGACAGTTTACCATGGATAGTAGGTTATGTAATATTTTTTTCATCCTTAATGTAAAGAGAGTTTTAAAAAATAATTTTACTATAAATAAAATTAATACCTACAAATATTATAACATTACTATGACTAAAAAAAAATGATATTATGAGGGTATGATAATATATAAAAATGTACAAAGTTGGAATGATAAAGTAGATATTCCCTTTTTTTACTATTTCTGCTTATGGTAAATTTTAGGAACCATACCTGAAGAAAAGTCATTTGGCACAAATGAAACTCTCATATTTGGATTAATCATTTTCATTTTACGAGCCTCTTGAGGATGGTTGAAGCGGAAGAAATTTGCCTTTCCCACACAAATCATACTCCCTAAAATATAAAATAGAATCTCACTTGGGCATTGTGCACTGATCACAATCTATAACTTTCTATGGCAAAAAAGAAATACATGTGATAATTGTTTCAAATAATTTTGAAATAATTCGTACAATATATATTTCTCTCAGACTATTTCATAATATCTGAAAACATTTCTGGAGAAGAATACAACTATGAATATTTAAGAGAAACCTTTTTTTAATAAATTACATAGTAGTCAACTTGGATTCATCTATTAGCTTAATTTATGGTAATTAGAAATACTAACATCTATCTTTCTCAGTAATAAAATTAATCATGAAACAATACATCTTCAAAAGATATTGAATTCTAAGCTTTAAAAGTTAATTTCTCCTTATTACTGATATCATAACACAAAGAAGTGAAGTTAAATTCAGCCACATCCTTGTTAATTGATATCAACACAAGCAAGATTAACCTCAAAAAAAGTTTCCCAATTCAATCAGTTTTATATATAAATCAATTACATAAGACACTATATATGCCATCTATTAAATCAAAAAACTAACCTTGTGCAAGACGCATGGGCTCAGTTATTCTCATGCCATCCACAGACATCACTTTTGCAATAGGATACAGTTTTACCAATCCTCCTATATTCTCAATGTAACAGTGTTCTTTCTCAATCCCAGGACCCTGAACAACTACATCCTGGGTAGTAGAAGCATCATCTCGACCTATTCTTGTTATACCTGAAGAAAATATAAATACACTTTATTAAAAAAATCTAGTTCCCCAATCACTGCTCCCTGGAAAAAAAAGAAGCTTCAGATAATTCTACCCTAGTTAAGTTTTGAAAAAAATAACAAAAGTATGCCACACTTAGCAAAAAGGATCTAGTATCCTAATTAATATTTCCTGTCAAATAAATGCACCAGTTTAATTTATCCTCACTACATGCAGGGAAAGTATAAGCAACACAAAATCATTGTTTTAAAAAAACATCCAATATTCAATATATATTACAGATTAGATCTGTGTATATATATATTAGTTGATTAGTTGAGTAAATCTTGCATCAATAAGAGCATTTCACTTGAGCTTTGTTCAGTAGATAATAAAGGACAGGTGTAATAATATTTAGAATTGATTAGGACCAATTTAATATCTGTATCGTTACTATTTTCATTAGCTTTTTAATCTGTGTCCATTATTTGGTTACAGGGAGAAGTTTTCTTGCCATCCCCAGTGTTCTGTTGTTAATAACTATTTATGTGTAATAATTACTTAAGCAGCCACTTTCCCACCACTAGAACAGACAGTGACAACTGATAAAAATGTGAGAAACTGTAGGCTTGAGCACCTACATCTCCTTCTTATTTTTATTTTTATGCAGCTTGTGAGGATGTTAAATAGAGATTAAATCTGAGAGAAAGTGTATTCCTACTGTTGCATAGGTGCTATTCCTTCACATATGACACAATGCAAGATATACTTTCTAATTCCCTATGTGTAACTTGAACACTGGTTGTATTTGTTGGTAAGTTCAAATCTTGTCTTATTTCTCATGGTCTAATGTTTATATATCTATATCTATGAATTTGTATGTGTGGGAATATACAAACACACATAAAGTTTTTTGAATTGCCAGTGCCATGCCAGTTTTCCTATCCTCTTACAGGGTGCATGCCATAACCACACTAACTATCAGGAAATAGGAATAATGAGACCACAGCTTAATTCAACTTATCTAATTGATTTCCAAAGCAATTATCATTTAGGCCAGTCAGCTAGACTCATTTTTTTGTAAAATAGTTAAATAAACACAGTGTCATGTTATTAAAATGAACTTTGATATTCAAAAGATTTGAAGATTAAACAAAACACAGATTTACACGTATAAATAGTACATAACCTACATATTAATAATACATGAAAAAATAATTATGACACAGTTACAGTTCATTTTAGAAACTAACAATATTATTGCTAGTAATAGTCCTGAATTTTCTAATGGAAAAAGAAAGCAATAAATAACTAGTGATAATTGCATTTTATGAAAAGACACAAGCTGTTAATTTTTAATTTTAGGCTTCTTATATACAAGTTGAAACAATATATTTCTGTAGCCTCTATAATTTAACTGGGCCTCAAAAACTGTTAACTTTCAAGTTAAAGTTTCAATTCAAAAAAGCATATGTATGACAAGTTAACAGCAAGCAGTATATATTAACCTATTACATACACCTAGTTATTATCATTGTTATAAACAAAAAGTATAAAATCAAACATCATAAAATTAATTCACAAGTTAAAAATTAAAATACCTTCAGGGAGAGGGTGAATTGTTATTGATGTACTCAAGCGCCCACCCCCTAAACTTACAAGATGAGGTTGATCAGTTTGCAGTTTTAGAGATTTTCCAGTTTCTAGGACTTCAACTCCATCCTACAAAATCAAAACAAAAGAATTTACCAATACTGGCAAACAACTTAAAGTAAGACAACAATTTCTTATTCCTCTTTCAGTATAATAAATTTATCTATATAACCAAAAATAACATTTAATACATAAAATTAGTAATAATGTTCAACAAAGCTTTTAGTCTATGTCCATATGTTTTTGTTTGAAACTATTCGTGTAAATATAGTTTGAGGTTTTCAATTAAGAACAAAGTAAACACAGAAGCTATATAATTGTGAATTATCATTTAGGTAACTTTTTTGAAAAACAAAATATATTTTAGCGAAAAGTTGTTTTTGAATTTTATAAATGTGCATACTTAATCAAAAACAACTGCTTACTTTGAATTGAGGAAGTTCTTTCATGCCACGAAGTATACCAACATCCTGTTTCTCTGTCCCAAGTTCCTTTCTTGTGACTTCTCCAGGAGCATTATTAAACACACCCACAGACATCTTTGCTTCAGTAAGGTTATTCCATATCCAACTATAAATAATGTAAAATTATTTTTTTAAAACAACATGTTAAAACAAGTTAGTTTATCCAATATAATCATATTAAGCCATGCTTGGCCTACACTGAGAAAAAAATATGGCTTAAGATCTGTCATTTTTTACTTACATATGTGAAAATGGTAAGTTCTTTAAAAAACACAACACATAACATTTTTGAATGTTAAAAATGCTCAAGTATCTTTTTTTTTTAACTTTAAGCCAAACTTTGAGTTCACACCTAGAATACATGAATGTCACAATCTGATCTATGGATCTATTCAAAGCAATATGTATTTAAACTTTAAAGGTTAGTACACATAGGTCTATTTATCTACCTTGTATTACCTATGCATTTGTTTGAAGAGACAGAGAGCAAACATTAAAAAATATGTACAAACACTGAAAATTAAAACAATATTTTAATTTATTCATTAAACCATTTCAGTTAAAGTTAATACCATTAACACCTTTGTAACACTTTCTATCAGTTTAATGGTGGTATATCTGAAAGATTACATGCAACTATTAAAATAAACAGAATAATATAGTAATTTCAGTTAAATCATAAATCACCGACATTTGATATCAGTGATTGTTAAAAGTGGAAGTTTCCTGAAGTAAAACTATTCTAGCACCTTTTTATTTTCAGCACCAAACTCATCATTTCTGTAAAAATAGTATGTCTGTCTATTAAAACATGTACATATTTCTAATTATTCTAATTTAAAATTATTAAAACATGGAGTTTCCAACTGATTAAAAATCACAAGAACTGTAATACACTAAACTGATTGATTGTGTTAGTATTTAGCTTCAAAAACAAAAATCAGTTCCTTTATTATTTGAGGCCATCTACATTTATCAATAAGGATCAAATTCACTTATGTGTCCATGATTATTTTGCATGACTGGCCAATCTATCTTATTGGACTATCATTCCTCAAAAATGTATATATATATCTATGCATTATTCAACTGTTCGTAATGCACCAAGGTTTCAGAGTAGTGTATTAACTTGAAATATACTATTCTTTCCATCCTTTTAGGACACATAATTGATTATAAAGTGTCATTTTATTTAACAGAACCCACCAGTTCATATCTGGGGTTTGATTCCTCATGATAGACACAAATACAACCCACTATGTAGCTTTGCATTAACAAAAAAATTAACAAAACTGATCTATAGAAAATTTATTTCTGTTAAAATATAAATATGTTTGAGTTATAAATGATAGTGAAAATTATTCTAACCTATACAGGATATTACACATATATGACATTATTAATTTCCCCATGTACTTCCACAAAGGGACATTTAACATTGCAATTTGTACTATCATGATGTCAGTAAAACATATACATGCCATGAATCATGCGAAAAATTATGCACTTTGTAGGTTATAAAGTAACATGACATATGAACTTCAAAAGCAAGAAATAAAAATACTTGTTACACTTATGTTCGGTTTTATTTACTTTTGAAACAGAACACTTTCAGGAACCCTGGGGAAGTACATCTAGTTTATATTAGTGTGATAATATATGTTTCTAAATTAGCAGTTTATAGTATTCGTATGTGTATATATAACTTGATATTGTACAAAAAAGTTGTTACCAATAGTTAACATGATAGTCACAAGCAATCAATATGGAAAGCAAAATGAAAACAAATTATTTCATGATTACCTGTGTTATATATAAGTAATATATTTGGAACAGTAGTATTATTTATCAACCAAACTGAATGTTCTCCCTATTTGTTTTTCTAATTATGATAGTTAATTCTGTCTGTGTCATCAAAAGCTCAAAGAAACACTACTTTAAGCCAACAAGGTATGATCAATGTTTAAGTGCTGGACACTATCACTTGAAAGACGATTTTGGAATAGAGAGAGATATATATTATGGACCAACTTCTGCAAGCATCCACAACAACATGCACACCAACCACCTACCTGGCTTTCCTTCTACCTGAAGAGATTTAAACATCATCCTAAACTTCCTCATATTTTATGAAACCTCTTTCTCCAAAACAACAGAGATCAAAAGACTTCTTGAAGAAACCAAGAGACACTTACTGAAACTACATATAGTAAAAAATTGACGAACAAAACAGTTACTGTTCAACATAACCAGGTTTCAACATGCTGAATATGTTCTCTACAAACAAAAATCCTAGATGAATCTTTACACCAAACGTTACACAAACAACATGAAGAAGAAGAAAAAATCAAATCAAAAACTATACATATTCACTATTCAGAATGCACCTATAATCACTATTGTGATAATATACAACTTCAACTCCAAAGTTCTAGCTGATATATAAAAGAAAGTTCTCAACTTAGGCTTTAACTTCGCAGTACCCCTCATCCACCTAATTACTGTTGACGTAACGGCCTACCTGAAATATGCCGCTCAAAAACTTCAAAGAACCTACGACGGAATAATTCAGAAACCAAACTTATTCTATGTTCAGACAGGCACAAAAAAAATCACCAAACGAGAACTTAGCATCTTGAATCATCTCAAAAAGGATAACCTCATCAATATACTATCTGCAGACAAAAGAAAGAGCACGGTTATTGAATACCAATGATTACGAAACTAAAAACAAAGTTATTAGACTTCCAACAGTACAGAAAGTTCAACAGTGACTCCACGGAAAAGACTCATCAACAATACGATAAGCAAACTTAAAAGACAAAGGTTAATCAATGAAACATAAACAAGAATTTGGGAACTCACTGCAGCTGCCCTCCACAGTTTTACGGCCTACTTAATATCCCCAAACACAACATATATAGCAATAAACTCACCTCACTATCACCTAGCTAATTTTTATGCCTCTCCTGTCACTGCTACTACTGAGTACAACCGAACACCACACATGACTCGAAAGAGTTCTCTGAAGAACTCAAAGGTTACCCCATCAGTACCCAAGAAATTCTTGTCAGTTTGATGTCGTAGGCTTCTTTGCTAACGTTCCAACCGTAAAACCCTTCGCATTACCAAGAATAACTACTGAATGAAAAGACTAACAGGTAGGACTGACATTGAAAGAGACGTCATCATGGAACTCACCACAATTTACTTGCATTCCACCTACTTTCAATACAGCAACGAATTATTGGAACAAATAGGCAGTTTTACTAAGATATATCCACGCTCACCAGTTTCAGCAGACATTTACATGGAAAAGTTGAACAAAAAAACTCACTCTACCGAAAAGAAACTAATATTTTACAGAACAGATGCTTATTAATAATACATTTGTTATCTGAACTCTTGGTGATGAAAACTTACTTTCATTCCTACCTTACTACCTAAATACAAAGACAACATAATAAATTTTACAATGAAAATAGAAAGCCACAACAACATCCCTTTCCTAGACATTCTTATCAGCAAACAGAATGACAAACTGACTACTGCCATATTCCGGAAATTAATTCACACTGATAGATCCTCATTTACGGTCACACCATCCACGTGGAGATCTCATGGTAAAACTGCTTGTTTGTCCAAATAATTCGTTGTTGTATTAAACATCTATCTGCTCAACAGAGCTAAAAACATCTGTGACAAAGAATCCATCCAAGCCAAACTCCAAAACACTATACAGTGTTTTAAACGGAATGCCCATCCTTCCAGTTTCATCAAAAAATAACTTAACAACCAACATAATTCTAACTGTTACAAAATAAAAAAGATCATAACTTACCCTCTTTTGTGCCGAACGTGAAAATTCAAACGAGTTGCCAAGAAATTCAACGCTGACGTTTTCTGGAAGTCTTAAAAACACTCAAATTCATCCCTGTCAAACCTAAACAAAAAACAATTCATAATAAATACGAAAATGTCATTTATGAAATATCGTGTTACTGAAAAAACAAAAACTTACAATTGAGAGACTGGGAAACATTTTCTAAAAATAATGAACGAACGTAAAGGCTGCAAGAGGCTGATGAAACCACAGTATTCTACCACTGCAGAAAATACAATAACGGACACAAAATAAACAGGAAAAATTACAGATAAGTTCTGAAAGGAAAAAAAAAGAAGAATTTCCTATATTAATGATGTCACTCATCATGTCAGAAAAACACAGGTTCAAGAAATCTTAATATAAACAATAAAAACCCTATAATCCGAGCGCTTTCGAAAGGTGGACCTTTCGACTTGGGCACACAAATCAGCAGTTTATGACTACCATTGGTCAGCAACTCATACGTTCCACCAACTACGGCCAAATATCTACCAAATTTCTATCAATTTTTTTTTATTATTACTATCTAAAAAGTGACATGGATTTAGTTTAAAGGAAATTCTCTGAATTTCCTAACTGGGGAAATTTGGGGGTATTATCTCCCTTCGTGTTAACTTGAATTACTGAAAGTGGAAGTTGCCTATTATAGTTTTTATGTAAATGTTTTTAAATTCTAAACTATTGAATTTCTTAGAATTTAAAATTTTGACTGTTAAAGTCTGCAAAGTGAAAGCTAGATTGACACCAAACAAACAGCCCCTTATCAGGGTGGCGACGAGCTATAAATCTAATGTCATATATGTATGTTTAAAGTACAGTGTCATGATTTATCTTATTACTACAATAAGGTCAAATAATAAATAGGAAACACACAACGTTAAAATCAATAAATAATTATTGTATATTAATTCAGGCCAATTAAAAGCCTCTAAAATGTGGACTCTACATGTTTCAGTGTTACAACATCTGTACGGTCCACAGATTGACCTTAATTAAAAATGCTTTTAATTGTGTATAAGTTGTGTGTTTCTTATTTATTATTTTAACGTTATACACAAGTGCCACGAAAATGATACAATAAGGTACTTTTATCATCCAGTATAATCTACCAACCAATCACAACAAATGCAAAATTTGTGTCAAGCTGACCGAAAGGCAAAAGGCTTTCGAAACGTCAACCAATTTACTTGTGTTACCTGTGTAGATCTTTAGTCCTCCAAGATTATCTCTACAATTATCAACCTGAACCAGTAACTGTCACCCATTTTAACTTTGTTCAGTTAATCTTTTTACAATATATGCTGGTTTACATTAACCATGAAGTAACATGCCTCACCAAGTACGAGATTATTTGTTTGAATGTTCCACCGTAAATTACACAAAGTGTTATTTGTTCGAGTGTTTTAACTGAATCGGAGGGAGAAAAAGTATTACTTTTTAAATTATTTTCACATTCATGCAAAATTACAAAGACTCACGAAACAAAGGAAGTAAATGATTATGTCAGAGTTAGTGTTTGTTTAATCTAGTGTCACGCCTTCTATAATTACAATAAGGTACCTTTATCGTTCAATACAATTACGAAGACCGTGCATTTTCAGTTTAGATATTATCTTGATCACATGATAATATTGACACAGCCCTTTTGGTATACCTAATATACCACCTGGCTCAATAATATCTTATTGCGGCCCTAAACACTCAGAAACACCAAAACATTTTACGACAGTGGTTAATACATATGATCGTTGAAACATCCTAGTGTTCAAGACCTTTAACAAAACATAAGCACACACACAAATTTATTTCCGTAAGGTTTCTCGCAAACAAGTCTACATAAATTGCACAAGTCACACCAGATGCTACACACACACACACAGATTTCACTCTGCTGTTTGTTTCTCATTTGCTTTTGTTCACAGATTTTTCTATATGCAAATTATGCGTCCAATAATGTAAAGTTGTATATTACCCAAAATTCTAATTAAAAGCAAGTTTTTACATTACACTGATTGTAAACTAAGATTTAATAGTGAGACAAGTCTCCAACGAGATCGTATTGCACACTAGCTCGTGTAAAACAGACGATGGCCTATTTAAAGCTATCATAAACCACCAACTGACAAAACTTAACAACTTAAGCCCATACAAAGTATGGAGTTTCCCCGGGTGGCTCAGCAGTATACTTAAGGACATACCTTTAGAATTCAGAGTTAGCGATCGATTCAACACAAGTAGTCGATTGTGCAGCTTTGCACTAAATCCAAAACAAATGGAGATGTAAGAAACCAACCAATGCAAGCCATTTTTCTAATTTTAGAATCACCCAAATCATAGACGCATTACCAAATGCACATTGATGATTAAGATACAACTGAAGACAATGAGATAAAGTATAGATAGACATATACTAAGGCAAAACATATTTTATCCACAACTTAAGCATCTTAGCTTGTTTTAACTTGATCTTCATAACAAGAATCTTATTTTGAATTCATTCAATAAGTATGTGATCTATCAGAATGAGTTAATATTTTAACACGTGCATAATGCTGTTCTTCCAAATACAACTTTTATTGGCATTTAAAAGGATGGCAAGAGATTTACCCCCCTTTTTTTTCTCGCTCGAAAACTGGATCTACGGCGCAATGAACAGCAAAAGTGGCAAAAACATTTTATGTAAAATTTTAGTAATGCAGATATCGGCTCCAAAGTTACATCACACACTGCGGTGGTACTTACCCAGCTATATTAAAAATGAAGACTTTACTAGCTGCTAAGTTGACAAGTTACTCTAAAAATGTACTTCAACTACCACTGTATTTACCTTGATGTACTAAAAATGGCTGACTCACTGCTGTTATTACCCAGTTACCCTAAACCTGATTTTACTCGCTGCTACTTATCTTGCTGCTCCAGTTAATAACCCACTAATTGCTCGTTGTCCCGTTATGCTAAAATGGTTTCATTTACTAGAATTGCCTCGATATACAAGAAATAAAAAATAATCTCATTTACTACTGTCATTTCGTTATAAATAAATTTCTCACTGTTATCTTCACGTCTCCAACCATTATTAACCTAAGATATGCCTTAGCCTCCCCTATAATCTCTTCACCCAACGCACAATGCCTACTGTTACGGATGGTTCATTTCCTAAATATGCGCAACTAGAAGATGTAGAGTGCAGCCCCCTCAATATGTTGTCCAGTCCATCTCATCCTCTTTATCGGGAAAAGACTAGCGTGGCTCCTACACTATACTAATAATGATTTCACACAATGTTGCAGCTGCCCCATTACACGAAAAATAACTCCACCCACTGTTGTTATTCCACTACATTAAAAGTAATTACACTTACTATGTAGCATGTTTATTGTCCATACAGAATATAGTGGCTGGTTAAAACACAAACACAATACATACGATTGTTATTACAATCCACTGCTTATTTTATTTTTTTTCTCTCATTAGTTTTCTTATCAGTATTTGATTAACTAGAGCTAATGCACGAGGCACTACAATATGTTATAGTAAATCTACAGTTTACGAAAATTGGTGAAGTAACTTTCAAAAACTTTGCAGAGAAATTTATTTTGAAGATGTTGCTGGTTAGCCTTGTGGTAGAGCTCTGATTTCAGACCTGGCGAGTTGCGTTCGAACCCGTACACTGCCACAAAATATTCCCTGCACTTCAAGTTTTTAGTGTATAATAAAAATGACGGTCAATCCATTAACATAGATAGAGAGCGGTCGGATACTGTTGACTGGCTGCCTTCCCTCTGGTCGATAGTTCAAAATTAAGTACGGCGCCAAATAGCCTTAGTAGCTTTGGCATAAATACAATTTTTTTTCAAAAACAAGGAAAACTAACGAATATCAGTATTGCTGCCAATTCTGTAAAACGTTGTTGTAACTACAGTAATGAATGAAGTCAGTTTTAAAATAACAGGACAACTACAGAAATATGTAAAGCCATTTTAAGTATAATTTTAAAATATAACAGAGAAATTTATTCTAGTTTAGTGGAGTAACTGTATCAGTAATACAACTCGTTTTTAGTTCAGTGTAATAAGAAAAATCAATGGAATTATTTTTTGTTTAGTGAAATAGCAACAACGAGTGAAGCGATTTTAGTTGAACAGAATAACACTGAATTGCGGCTGTGTACTAAATTTACCTTTACATATACTTCCTACGACATCTGGAAAACCGTAATGATCAGTTTACAAGACGCTGCACTGTAACAGTGTAAGAATTTAGTGCCTCATTTAAAATGAGCCTAACAGATATTTCACTTACAATATGACAAACACATCAAAGAGGATATACATCTACTTAATATAATTACATGTTACACATGCTCAAACAAATGTTGATGACACTTAACTTTATCATATTCTGTGCTGAGAAAAATTATCGTTGATGTCTTAATATGTTCAGTATTTTTGTTTGTTTTGTTAAATTTCCCACAAAGCTAAGAAAGGGCTATCTGCGCTAGCCATCGCTAATTTTGAAGTGATAAATTAGAGAGAAGGCAGTTAGTTACCATATTCACAGCCAACTTTTGGGCTACTCTTTACCAACAAATAACGAGAATGACTGTCACATTATCACGCCCCCACACTGAAAGGTCTAGCACTTTCAGCGACACGTTTCGATCCTGCGACCCGCACATCTCATTACCACAGTAGAAATAAAAACAGCAGTAAATGGCCATCTTATTAGAACTTCCTCCTCCAAACACGCACACACACACAAACATGTTTGTAAAACGTTCCTCGAATTAGTGGCACTTGTAAATTGACTAACCATGTAATGTGTCAGTCACAAGTGGAAATGAAATTATATCACGGTCAGTCTGGCAAACTTTGGGTAAGAGTAAATACACCTCTCGCTTTCAAATGGCATGATAGTAATAGCCCATCTACCAAAAACATTGTTATCAAATAAAATTTGTTTTACCAGCTGTTTAAGCATACCTGTTATTGAGGTTTATCGCTTACTCACATGGACTACACCTAGTGCTGAGAAAAAAATGTGCCCTCCAACTGAGG